CTTGGTTGCAGTGGGGACTTCTAGAATTCATTTTTTTATTTGTCCATGTAAACATTCGCCAAAATAAGTGAGAATGGAGATCCCATAGATTGTCCAAATATTTGCTCATAGCTATGGCCGTTGAATGTGAAGAATGTGGTTCTCATCGTCAGGTTGACCAGTCGCGTTAAAGGCCCTTTCCGTATCGGTTCGGCTTCCAGGATATCCTCCTCTCGTTCCAAGATCTCCATCGATGCCTTGGATTTATTCTCGCCTGAGAGAGCTGTAGACATGAAATTTACATCAAAACTTAGAAATAGGTATATTCTTATCAAGCCAACGTTATAGAGTATTTGGGAAAATGCATATGATTTTTTTATAGTTTTTGCTAGTCTGTTGTTTGCCATCTTGAGTTTCAAGTACTTCAATTCTTCCAGCTTTCGTGTTTCTCAATGCTTGTCACTTAATATTAACCTTAACAGTTCTCCTTCCTTGTATATCTTTGATAGTCCATAGGCTGTCAGTGAACTTGCGTCCGTTTTAATTAAGCAATTCATGATCCACACGTCGATTTACCCTCCTATATACATTTAATTTCGTATATCCTTTAAGACTATGTTGATCTTCACAGTTGGATCGTTTCCCAACTATTGATAAGTAGTTCAACTGCCCAGTATGCCTTCTATTTTCTCTGTATCTTGCTTTCTTTCCAGTTCCATCGTCGTTAGCAAGGTTATTTGGTCGTTCCTTTGTAATATTCTATGTATCCTTGTTCATCCATTTCTGTTTATTGGCCCTTTATTTGCAATTATTCTTAGGATTATTTCCATTTCAATCTTCCGTTTATTCTCTTCTGGGTATTTTTGAGGGTTATTTACAACGTCGACAAAATTATATAATAAAAGATTTTATTCGTTACAGAGGGAAAATTTAATCCCTTCTTTAGGAGATCAGTTGTTTTATGATCAAAAGAGACTCAGGATAAATTCACTACCTGCTTCCATGCTCATTTTGGAGTGAGTGCCATCAATATAGAACAAGAATAAATTCTTTAGGTTGGCTGTTTCTAGAGCTTTCTTATGATCTCATAACTAAGCAATTCATTATAATGTCTACTAGTTATCGAATTCCGGATCCATTCTGAATTTAGGTCAGTCATATATTGAAGTTTTTGAAAATCTTCCCGAGTAAAAGTCGCCTTAGATACCGCGTTTGTTTATACTTTATTTCTACGAACCTAATTAGTTGACCCTTCTCATCTTTGGATGGATGCTAAAAGTAGATTAAACCACTTCTATACAAGGAAAGAAGACTGCGACCAACCTAGACGCAATGCATTCTTGGTGTCTTCACCTTCAATAAGCATGAATACAAAATGAAATTAAGGAGTGAAACGTTATTTGTTGATTTCCGACATACATCTCTGTTCACTTAAGTTATTTCCTTTTTTTATAACTTCATAGTAATTTATTTCGTTGTATCTCTTATATTAATTACCTTAAGAAATTACTCGTATACCGTCGTCATTCTAATCGATAGTAAAATGTACATTAAAGTTACCAATCAATTGTTTAAGAGCCCGGAATACTTCTCAAAAAGGACGAACTTTCAATTTAGCCCTGTAGTTCTTAGCCAACCTTAAAATACTAACTAACTTCTAGAGAAAAAGTAACCAACATAGAAAACTAGGCTATTGGATAGAATTGTGGAGAGGATACCAGACGAACAACAAATAAAGGAGTTAAGGCTTGATTAGTCGGCAGTCTGACTGGGCCGCTAACATTTCAGTTGACTAATGGGCATTGTCTGCACAAAGCACGTGCAAGCATACATTATAAGTTTCATTGGCATCACAGAATCTCACTACAGGTCGCATAGGAAAGAAAGTGGAGGCTTTACAGCACCTGCATCGATTTCACTTATCCACAAGCCTAAAATGAGAAGCATGATGTTGTTAATAAATTGATGAGACAACACCATTTGTGGTTTAGTGTTTGATAAATTTTGGTTAAAGAATGTTTTCTTGATTTGGCGAATCTGCTATGCTGAGAGAGAAGGTAGATCATCATGGATTCGTCTGGGCACTGCGTCTGGGACTTTTTGGCTAAAAACAACGGGCAATACCAGAAGACACTTCTTCAGTCCCCTGTGAGTTCAAGCTACATTCCTACTCCAGCAATCAGTTCATGCGAAATTAAGATCCACTGCCCTCAGTAAAATGCTTGCCATTTGAAGGCGACAACTATTTATCCACATTATTGCACACCAAAAAGAACGTATTGCCGAAGCCACAGTCCAATGTCTGTTTGGTTATAATCGAAGGGTATCAAATGAAATTGTATTCAAGATCGTTGAAAAAGAAATCACATCTTTTTTATTCCAAGAGTTTGGCTCATGGCAAACATGCTAGAGGCCAACATATTTTGAGTAATACATATTCATGTCTTCAGATGATAAAATATTTTAAAGCTTACATTTTCTCTTACTCATGGCCTTTTTTTTAATGATTGTTTCAATTTAAACTAGGAAGCGTAATACCTCCCATAAATAGTTATAAGTTAAGTGTAATATACATTCCACAAACGTTCCTATAGCCCTTCCTAAGACTTTTAGACTTGGCAGTGACTGTTGCAACATTTCCATTGTTTCTCGAGGGCTGATAAAAAAGCCTATATTGTGATGGTCCCTTTTGGTTAGCACTTTTAAATTTGTATGCCTGATCAGATTCATCTGCTGTTACAATGAGCTTCATTGCTTGGAGGTTTATTTTATAAATTGAGAAGTTTTTGTAGCTAATTTCGTATTTCAAATCTTTGCATTTGTAAGTTCATACACTTTTTTTTCTAGATCGACGAAGAAATTCAAAGGAATCGGGACTTGGAGAAGACAATTTCGGAGAAGCGAGCCGACATGCTGAAGATTGAGGCGACTTTGAGACATATGGAGCAAGGTTATAAAGATAGTATGATTAGGCTTGAGAACGAAGCGCAACTTCATAAAAGAGTAAGTCGACCTAACCAATCTCTTATTTGCAGGGGTTCATGTTCATTTTGCATAAACCAAAACGTTACGAGGTCGCCTTGTTTCCAAATCCACATCTCCCGTAGCAGCAATTTATCTTCTATTGCATGGTGAACTTCGCTCATGACAAGCCTTCAATTAGCGAGTTCAAAGGGAAACTGCATGGCCTAAGAAACAAGGAAAAGTACCTAAAGCATATTATAAACCTTTAGTAAAAGTCTGCAAAAGACAAATTGTATGGCATTAGGTAGCAAGGTATTGCTTGCTTGTTCAAGTTACATGAGGTTAAGAAGAATGTAGGGGGAAGAGGCGAGATGGGATATTATGAGAGCCACTTATCAAAGTAGGGAAGAAGCGGAATTTTCTGGACGTAGTATGTGACAAATGTTTGCAGTTACCGAGGCAATGCATGTTTGGCTATGCTTTTATGCTAATAACCTGGACGAGGAGAACAGCAAAAAACAGGCTTATCCGTGGGTGAAACGTTCAGCCGCCTTTATATCCGTCTCCTCTGCTCACGATCTATCACCATTTTCAGCTCTTTGTAGTTTTCTTTATTAACACACCGATCAATACTATAATCCCATCTAGCAAAGAACTGATTCATTTCTATCATGACTTACTTTCCAATGCATACAAATAATTGATCAAATATCCTTTACTACATCTTCTATATCAAGTAATTTAGCCAACAAAAAAGCCAGCAATCTTTGACGAATTTAAACCGTTTCAGAACCCACAATTTGAGTTCAATCGAAAGCCCAGCCAAATTACCAAGAAAAAGTCTTCCGACTCTTTGTTGACTGAAGATTCAGCCTAAGCTATACGAAAATGAGCAGCCATATCATGAGTTTGTAGCCTTTTTTCTCCCTTTGATTGATCTCATTTTCCCATCCTGGTAATGCCTACGGGCACAGTTTGACGGAAATGCGCCCAACCGTCATTGTTGCTTTGGTTTGCAACTGCTCATTCTGAATCAGCAAGTCCACCAGCTACGCCTAAAATCTCTTCGTTTGCTCTGAGTTCTGCCATATCACTGAAGCAAGCCTGGCAACGTGCTTGTTGTATGGGTGAAAGCGCATTTCAAATTATTGTTGAGAAACGCCTGTCATGAAGACATTAACTATTGTATCATCTGATATCTTTTAGATAGTTGAGACAATAATACAATGTCCCATCATCTTCTGTCCCAACTTTCTTCTGCCTCATCCGCATTCTGTTCTACCTACCCCTCATTTATTTTTTCTCTACTTCATCCTACACATGTTTCCCTACCTAGTGCCCCATTCACCTCTTTCCTATTTCCCTCTCCATTCCCCTCCCCCACCTTTTTTCTCAATATTATCCACTACATTTTCCTCCATATCCTCTTCATCCCCTTCTCCAAGGCCTCATTATCTCCAGCATGGTGCTCTATGTCCTCCTTCTGCCCTTATCTCACTTCTTCTGTCTTCTCTTCACTCCACTCTTCTATATACTCATCTACCGTCTCCTCTATATCCTCCGCATCCATTTCTCCAACAATCATTTTCATCCATATTTATCCTACCTCTTTATCCGCTTATACGTAATATTATGTACTATCATCTCTTCCAACAATTTCTCTCAATCCAACTCTACACTCCACTACCTCTTTCCATTCTACACACTATAAGTCCACCTCGTTCACTCTCTCAACTTTCTCCTTATCTATTCTAAAAACCTTTTTTTCAGCATCTACTTTTATCTCCTTCTCCTCTATCCTCCTTTTCTACTTACTCATCTGCCTGCCCCTCTCCGACTTTCTCGTCTGCTTCCTCTTCCTTTCCCCTCCTCTTCTACCTCCTCATCCCCTTCTACATTTCGCTCTTCTACACAATATACTTCACGCCCTCCACCTCCCCGTCTTCGGATTTATTCGCTGCTTTCTTCTTTGATATCTCTCCATACTTCCTCATTTATAA